AAAGAGCTTGTTTGTTAAGATCTATGCAGACATCTCCCCCTGGTGGTCACAGGAATTCAGGACGCAAAAGTATTTTAACCCAGGCTTTTGATGAGGCAGAGATGACTACAGCACTTAACAACAACAACAATTTGGTTTTATGAATCTCTACTTCATTTCCATAAAAACATAAACAACCAAAAAATAAAAACTCCAAACCATGGGTCCAACTTGTGGCAACCTTGCATGCTTCAGAGCAGAGCTGTTCTCCACAGCATGCTCAGAGACGGTCATCTTCTGAAAAGAGACTGCCAGCTCTTTCTTCCAAGTCACCTCAGGGTAGACTTGAATCACTAGCCTTTCAGTTAGTGCCTAAGCATTTAATGAGTCATGCCACAGGGACTCCAGCTCCTTGAGGTGACTCATCACTTACACTGTGTTATTGTTGTTGCTGTGTACCATCAAGTTGGAACCAACACACAGCCAACCCCCTGGCGGGTTTTCACAGGTAGTTTAATCTCCCATCTTTCTCCCGTGAACAGGTGGTGGATTCTAACCTCATGCCTTTGGGACTGCAGTGCAGCTTCTTGCCACTAGGCCACCAGAGCTCCTTATCACTGACCTTATCTAGTCACATACCTTAGAAAATTGAACTGAAAGCTACTACATTTAGGTTGTTACCTACTGATGACTCATCACAGTCCCAAGCAAACTTGATGTTTAGCAACTAGAAATGTGGTGTTTGGGACCAAATGTGCTCAACCTGAGTTCTGTAACTCCAGACTGAGTTTCTTTTTATTTTATTTTATTAATTTTAATGAACATTTACAATTTACAAAGATTTTGAATTTCCACTCATTTATTGTTGCACTTTTCTCCCTGCCCACCCTTTCCCTCCTCCCAGTTCACTCCTCTGTTTGAAAAGTAAATGAAAAGTTCTTTCATTGGTATACAATCCCCCCCACCCCACCCTACCACACCGAGTACACTACACTAACCTTAATTCTGGACTCTTGTGATAACCATAATACCCTAACATATATCACTTTTAAATTGTTCTCTCCCTCATCTGTTTCAATGCAGTATACATAATTTACCCAGTTCAACTGAGTTTCTTTATCAGTAAAATGAGGGGTTGAACTGTATGGGTATTGCAGTTGCTTCCAACTCTTCCACATTCTGTTGTCTCCAAAGGATTTCAAGGGAAGGCTTACCGCACCATTTATTTGAGGCCTACTGACTAAAAGTTGCTAATGACAAAGCCAGTGATTAATCACACCACAGGATGATCACTTTTACACACACTTCTCCTTCAAATCAAACACTACAGAGAAGGTTTCTAAAATTAGGATTACTTTAAAAATAAAGATGACGAACTTTCAAAACAAGGAGCCCTGGTAGCACAGGGGCTTATATGCTGGGCTGGTTTAAATCCACCAGCAAACACCAATGAAAAAGATGGGGCAAATTGCTGTCACAGGGATTTACAACCTCAGAAACATGCTGGAGAAAGTCTGCTCTTAATGTGAGCTGGAATCAACTTGATGGCAGTTAGGCTAGCTTTCTAATAACATGAATATGGATAAAAGGATTTTTCAGCTATGATACAAATCTGCTAAAGGTACATTTCTGTATTAACAGGAAGACTGGAAGCCCAATTGCTTCTTACCGTTCCACACATGCCTCATCAAGGTTATTGAAGCCTATTGTTGGGCTTCTGAGTTGATTCTGCACGGACACAAGATCGTTGGTTTCCAAGGCTTGGTTCAATAAAGCAACGGCAGACAACATTTCCACTGCAATCACCAATTCTTCATGGGCCAGCTGGTTCTATTGGAAAACACAAGGTAACATAAATTCCCCAAACCACACATATCTTTTGTCTGATGGGGCATTGTGGAAGGCAAATTTTCCACAATGATGTAAGTCTAAGATTTTGAAATCCCAGTAGACACAGGAGCCATGGACCATCTACTTACTCTCGGCTCTAAAGAAGAGGCAAAAACAGATTCTGGGCTTTCCTTGGAAAATCATTTCAGAGACTCAAGTTAATTACATCCAATAGAATTATAAACCCATAAAAAAATCTGCATTCTCATAGTAGGTCTCTACCTCTAGTTATTGCATCTCACAAGCCCAGTCCTCACAAATCATCCAGTCAAGGACAGTTCAAGGCTGTCACTGACAGATTACAAATGGGTTAATGTTCTCCCTTACTAACCAAAAGGTTGGGTGTTTGAGTCTACCCAATGATTCCAAAGAAGAAAAGTCTGGTGATATACATAAGAAAATTCTGTGGAGCTCAGGCCTAGTGAAACACCTACGGGGTCAGCATGAGTGAGAATCCATTTGATAGCAACGGGTCTTGGTCAGTTTTTAGGAAGGTTCTAGCAAAATGAATGATTATCCTTCGAAGCTAAGGATGAAAGAAAGGAGAGTAGAGGATCCAAGGCAGAGGGGAGGGTGGAAATAGATAGGAGGTGGGTAGAGTGTTAATCATAGGTTTGCACAGTTTGATGGGTGGGTGGGGTAAAGGAAATGGGAAGGCTCTTTTGTGAAAAACAATGTTTTCAAACTTTGAATCAGAATAAAATAAAAAAATATAAAAAAGAAAGGAGGGCAGCCTGTCAGTCAAATATTATAATGTTAAAAAAAGATTAATCAAGGTCTGTAAGTTAAGAATACTAATTCCATTTTTTAAAAGTCTATATCACATTTTTTTAAAAACAACTGGGCAAAAATGTAACCACATACTACAAAGTCTGGATAGCGTAATAAATCTGAGGTAAATCTATCAGTAAAGAAAAAAAAGGGGGGGAAGGTGGCTCCAGATTTATATGACTTTTAGATATGAATCTGGTTTATTTAAAAAAAAATTATAATAGCTTTTCAGAACACCTCCCCTTCAAAGTTTTATTCTACTTAACCATTTTAAATAGTCTTGGACAAATCTAAAAAGGAGTATTTCTTTATTCCTGTTAAGGAAATAAAAGAGAATAGAAAAAAAGAATTATAAGAAAGATAAATTTGCCTAAGATAAATAAGTCAAGAAGGAGCTGGAAAGAAGGATGGATGGATATGGAAAAATACAGACAGGAAGTGGAAGCATGCTGTTACATCAGGGAACTGCAACTAATACTTTGAAACAAAATGTGTATAAATTGTTGAATCAAAAATCAATTTACAACAAAGTAAAGAAATAATTCTTAAAAGTACTGTCTTAGAAATGAATTTGTTCTATAAACTGTCATCCAAGCCACAATAAACAGTAATTTTAAAAGTAAATTGCATATTGGGGGAAGCAATTAACACATTCATAGTCTTTACTGTGGTGATGGTTTCAAGGTACACAAGCTCAAAAAAACAAAGGAACAATAAAACCACCAACTTACTGCCCGAGTTCAAACCCACTCACAGCTGACCCTCTAAGAGGTTACCAAGGCTGTAAATCTCATGGGAGGGGATGGTCTATCTTTCTCTCCCTCCCGGAGCCACTGAAGAACTACCAGAGGAGAGTGAGCTGCACAATTCCCTACACACTGTGCCACCAGGGCTCCCTTCAAGGTACACGCACAGGTCAAAATCTGTCTACCTGTGTCTTTGAATACGTTCAGGTTACAGTACATAAATTATTCCTTCATAAAGTTATTTTTTATAAGTTAAAAAAAAGTTGTTGTGTACCATGGAGTTGGAACCGACCCGGCGCTGACCTCAGAGGGTATTCAGAGGCAGTTAGTCCCACAGGAGGAGATAGCCCATCCTTCTTCCACAGAGCAGCTGTGGCCTTGAACTGTGTGCCTTGGGGATTGCAGCACTTCTTGCCAGTAGCCTAATGATATAGGTCGTTCTACTTAAGGTTGTTGCTATTGTTAGAGGCCGCTGAGTCCATTTTTGGCTCACAGTGACCCAAACCCCAAGTGAAAAATTAGAACCACTCCACAAGACTTCTTGGATGTAATCTTTACAGGGCAGATGACCAGCCTGGGTGGGCTTAAACTGCCAACCTCTCAGATAGCAGCCAAGCTCTTAACCATTACACCAGAAGGACTCCTTCACATTTAAGGAAATCACATGTATTTAAAATATATGACAATATTATAATCATATTAAAATAAAAAATTACAGTGTTGGATCTCTACAGAATTCCAGCAGCAAACTGTTATCAGAGTAATAAAGCATTTAACTTTTTAAATGAATAGGAATAATGTGTTATCAAAGGGAGCACGTAAGTACATCTTATTTTAAAAAATCTAATATTACCTATGATTTTAACAATAAAGGAATGCATAAAATACAAAAGCAGAACAGAATATTCTTAAGTGAATCTTCTAGTGAGACTCTACACAAATAACTAAAGTGGCAAATGGTAAAAAAGAAAGAAGAAAATCAGTACAGGTTTAAGAAGCATGGGACTTCAAGCTAGAGAACAGGGAGAAGACATCACAGAAAACGGAAATGTAATCTAGAAAAAGAAACTATTTCCCTTTCATTACAAAAATAGTATCATTTCTATTTTGAAAAATATAAGCAGATTTTAAAAGAAGAAAAATAAAATCCTACCACCCAAACACTTTAGTGTGTCTTTTTTATATTAATGCATTCAAATATTTATGGAGCTTTTGTTAAAAAAAAGGACTGACTTTATTTTTTATTACATATATTTTAACTCATTTTTCTACTTAAGATACTGTGAACATCTCTTTAGATCATTATTACCATTTTACTGATTACATAGTATTTCTAGCATTTAGAGCAAACCCCCTCAAAATAATCCACTGCCATAAATTCTGAGTCAAATACAACTCAGACCTGAATCCTGTCCTCTCCTGCACCGTCCTCATCATCTTTGACATACTTGAGCCCATAGCTGCAGTCACTATGTCATTCTATCTCACTGGGGGTCCTTCCTCTCTTGTGACCCTCCACATTTCCAAAAATGTTGTTTCTTTCCAAGGTGTTAACAGCCTCTCCTAAACATCAAAAATATGAGAGACAAAGCTTCACCCTCTTTGGCTCCAAGGAGCACTCTGGCTGCACTTGACCCAAGACATGTATGTTTGTCCAAGAGAAATGTCCATTCAACACTCTTCAACATCACAACTCAAAGGCAATCAATTCTAATCCTGTCATTCTTATTCATTGTCCAGCTTTCCAATGAGATGCCAGTGAGGGAAAAGAACATGGCCTGTATCAGGTGCGCCTTAGTCTTCACACTGACACATTGCTCTTCTGTGTTTTGGAGAGATTGCTGACAGCAGAACTGTCCTATTCAGTATGTCTGGTACCAAGGGTGTTGATTGTTTATCCAAGGAAGATAAAATCATTGACAACTTCAATCCTTTCTCCTTCTATTATGATGTTGCCTATCGGTCCTTTGTTTTCTTGATGTTGAGATATATCATTTCTCCATACCTACTCAATCTGAGCAAATTATTTGTGAAACAAGGCTCTATGAAAAGTGTTTGGCATCAGGATTGAAGGAAGACTCAACAACCACTTGTATTATGCAGATGACACAGCCTTGCTTGTTGACAATGAGAAGGACTTGAAATGTTTGTTTTGAACTTCCTGTTCATGCTTTTAGCCCCTCTTCCTTATTTTTGGTCAAGAAGGCATTCCTTCTTATTTTTTAAGATCAAATGTTTAATGTTATCCATAAAACTTTAATGTTCTAATGTTTATTTACATTTAATCTTTTAATCCATTAGAAATTTATTCTTATACATGATATGATAATATGATAGTACGTTTATGTTTTCTTCCCAAATTGGCTGAATGCATGCAAGGTTTTATTAAGCAATCCTTTTAAAAATAAGTTTTATCATACACTTAATTCTTGGCATACTTCCAGTACTTTTAATTTTCTTCCATTGTATGCTTCAGTGCAGCTTCTAACAACTAGGCCAACAGAGCTCCCTTTATATAGAATACTAATGTCTAATATTATTAGGATGAGCTCAGATGGCCCAGTGGGGTAAGGAGTTACACTACCAAACCAAAGGCAAGCGATTTGAATCCACCAGCTGCTCCATGAGAGAAAGATGGTCAATATCCTCCTGTGCAATTTACAGTCTCTGAAAACTCACTGGAGGCTCAGCTATGCATAAGTTCTGACTCAACAACACACAACAACATCAATCTATTAGAAAAAGTAAGACTATACATTTGCATAATGTCCTTCTTTAAGAACTGGTCCCTCCTGGCCACATGTCCAATCATGCTTGGGAGGGTGGAGGAACAGTACAGAAGACGACCCTGGATGAAAATGGATTGACACAGTTAACTAGGGTAACTGAGGTAGGTGTGTCAGAGACAGTTAGACTGGCTCAGGATAGAGTTGCTATGAGTCACAGGTTACTCCAAGGCACATAACAACTACAATATACATTTTCAAATTCAAAGGTAGGGTTTTAATGCTTTTAGTTGCAGGTTTCTAGAAAAGATTCAGAGTTTATTTTTCTAAACAAAAACAATTATATATTTAAAAATTAGGTCAGTTAAAAACATTATCCTTAAAAATAATCAGAGACAATAAGACCAATCTATTTTCACATGCATTCGTGTGGAATCTCAATATCCTAACTGTGCTCTTAGGCCTTAGACATTGATCAGGGTAGGAGTGAAGAGGACAAGAGGCCATGGAATTGGGGCCCGTGGGACAATGTTGTCTGGGACTGGCACGAATGGACACTCCACACCTCATTCCCCTTTCCCACACTGCCTTCCTCCTCACCAGGCCACCTCTGGAACTTGGCTGACTTACCGAGGCATTCTGACTCTGGAGGTTGAAAAGCTCATGCTGGTACATAGCAGCTGCAAAGGGATAAACAGCGGGCAGCTGGGCCTCTGGTTTCTTCAGGGCCAGAAACGTCTTCTCGGGGTCACCTTCCCTGAGTGCAGCATTGATGTGGTCCACGGCGGCAAGTCCTGGGTGGGGGAGTCCACACTCCATGAGAATGCCAGCTTCCCCCCCCACCTCCTAACTGCACCAAGGATCAGAACCTCGGCACAAGCCCTTTCCATGAACTCTGAGAAACTACAGCAGCAGGGTGGGGAGGTAAATTCTTATCCATAAGTAACATGAATGATTATTAAAACACACTACTTAGGAGGGTAAGGACTACAAGGGGGGGATAAATTATAGGGTCACACAATCTGATGGGTAGAGAGAGGGGTGGGTAAAGGAAATTGGAAAGATTCAGTGTGAAAAGCAATGTATATGAACTCTGTAAGCAAACAGCATAAAATAAAAATTTCATTTACAAAAAAATCCACTTGGGAATTTAAAAGAATTCCTCACCTTTGAAGTCTGGGTTATGAATTCATTCCTACCTAGCATGATTTGCTCATGAAACCCTTCCTTTTAGGACCTGCATAGGCTCCACCTCTTCCATGAAGCCTTTATGATTGCTCCAGCGGCAAACCAAACCCTCCATCTCGTAGCCCTTGCCTCATAGTGACCCTCCGTCGGGTTTCTAACACTGTACATCGTTACGGGAGGAGACTGCCCATCTTTTTTCCTCAGAGTAGCTAGTAGATTTGAACACTGATTAGGCTGCCAATAAGACATGCTATGCACTATGCCACCAGAGCTGCTTTCATAATTGCATCCGGCCCTGGCTATTTCAGAAGCCCCACAATATGTAGAGCTGGGCTGAGTAGAGCCAGCAGACACTGTTCTCTAATACTTCCTGTGGGTCAGCATCACCGCCTCACTGAGACTCTAAGTTTGGTGAAGAACGAGAGGAAGCCTTGTGCTCCTGTAATAAACCCTCTACATTGGCATCCAGTAAAAACACAGCAGCCACTTTGATTCGCTGCTGCCTGATGTTCTCCAAGTCACATTTCCCTCAGCACATTCTCCCTCCACTCTTATTTTCTATGAATGATTATTTTAAAAAAGAAAAAAGAATTTTCCATTTTCTATTTTTAAAAATTTACCTCATTGAATAAATCTGTACTAATGCATTTGTTGTTTGTTATTGAATGTCATTAAGCTGATTGCAACTCATAGCAATCCTACAGGACATACTGGAAATGCTTTGCAGGGTTTCCTACACCAGGAGCACAATGCTGTGTATTTTCATCTACAGAGCTGCCGGTAGTTTCACGCTGCCAATCTTTTGGCTAGCAGCTGAGTGCTGAACGAATGCACTACTAAGCTTGTACGGATACATTTCATTCCCTTCTCCCCAACATAAGTCTTAGAGACAGAAACATCTGAAACAGAATCTTCTATTATATGATCCACCACAAATAAATTCTGTGATATCTTCATGTCTTGTAATATTTGTCTCACATACTTTGGGCATGTCGCTGGGAGAGACTATTCCTTGGAGAAGGATATCATGATTGGAAAGGTGGAGGGATGGCAAAGGATGCCATGCAGATGACACAGTGACTACAGCAATGGGCTTGAATGTGTCAGAGATTGTGAGGATGGCACAGGACAGGACAGGGTTCAGATCTGCTGTTCATAGGGGTTGCTATGAGTCATACTCAACTTGATGGCACCTAATAATGACAACGTTCAACAGATCATAAACCCCCTTCATTTTAGTGACTAAAATGAGGTGTTTGAAATAACAGTTTAGTTGAACTTTCAGAGCAGAGAAATGGAACTGCTGACCACGTGGAAGAATGAATGATGAATCTGGTGACCAGGAAAAAGCCAACCAGCTAGAGCTAGAAAGATGTTGCTCTATTGAAAAGGCCTTGGATAGGAAAATAACATGGACTCATGGATATTTTAAAGCTCTTCAAAGGTATAGTATGTCTGTCTGGTACATGTCTAGACTGCAGCTAAGAGTATTCTTTTTCCTGATACAGGACAGCTTATCTTTTCTAAATATGTTCACAAGGGAGCTCTGGTGGTTAGTGGTAAGGAGATGCTCTGCCAACCCAGAGATACAAGGATGGAATCCGTCAACTACTCCACAGGGAAAAAATGGGCAATCTTCTCCCATGTGATTTACTGCTTCTGAAAATCTGCTGAAGGGTCAGCTATGAGCTGGTTCTGACCTGACGTCACCTAACAACAACAACAACAACAACAACAACAAATGTGTTCACAAGGAACTTACATTAACAATTCTTTCTACTAAGAGACACCATTCAACAGCAGTCAATACTTAGGACTAACTGAATCCTTCATGCAATCCCCCCACCCCCAAACTTATACTTAATTTAAAGGACCTTAAGGACATGAATATTTCTTCTCTGTCCTTTAAATATGGCAAACTAGAGAATTCCAGAAAAGCAGTTCAGTGTTTGGTTGTGGTTTCTGCAGTTCTGGTAAAATTATCCAACGCCTTGCAGCTGAATCTCTGCATAGAAGCATCCTGCTTCACTGTCAGTATGAGTTTCTACAGCTGGATGGTAAAAATATCAGATAATCACATCCTGAAAATACTTAGGAAACTATTTCTTCTAAAAAAATAAGGCAAATGTGTCCACTCTGTTAGATTCAGCATTTAACAAAATTCCCAGTCCTGATCTTAACAGGATATACTAGGAAATGAACAGAATGACTGGGCCATGCTCCTAAATTCCATTATCACAGTTTAAACAAAGTGGAGGTCTGATAAGTCCCCTGACATCCCTACTGAAGCTGTCACTTGTGTGATGATGATGGCCATGCTAATGCAAACGCTTTACTATTTTAATGTAATAAATGGTTTGGGAAAGGCTTGTTAAGTATTTATACTCAAATTTATTTTTTAATAATTTCAGTGAACATTTACAGAGAATTTGGATTTCCATTCATTCATTGCTGTATACTCACATATTTTAAAGTGGCAATGACCTCATTGTCATGTCATTGACTAAAATATGCTTTAAAGGGCTTTTGAAATGACTTTCAGTTCTACTGCTCTATAGCATCTCAGATGGAGAGAGAGCAAAACCTTTAGGATAATCCTACTGTAGTGATTAAAGCCATCAAACAATCTAATGTCTTTCTCAGTTACTGCTGGTCATACCATTATTACAAATCACTCCATACCTTTTACTCAAAAATAGGAGGGGAAAGTATAACAATTTGGAATTAGATTTGAGGTCAAGAAATTATGGCACTGAGAAAAACCACCAAATCATTTACATTAGGCATTTTATCTAATAAGAGAAAGAAATTTGCTTCAGTGGTTGCAAAAATAAAGGATGGAAAAAAGGCTATGGAAGCATTTCCTCACTAAGTTCATGAATCCCAATGTCTTGCTGAAAATATGAATTTCTTCCAGTAATTCATTTCTGTCAAGCATAGTTCAGTTCTCAGATTTCAAACCAAGGAGGAAAAACTTGAAATAACACTTCATGCATCACTGCCATGATATTAACGACTGGATGGGAATAAAAGACCAGGAATGTGTACCCCAAAATATGAAGGTGCTGTCTTTAGGGGGGGAAAAGTCACCTTACAACTCTCAACAGTTTGTGAGAGTGTGTATATGTATGAATTCTCAAACACCTGTGACTGTTGACACCTAGGCCTTTACAAACTAACCTGCTCTGGACTTCTTTGACTACTGTCTGAATTATGTAGAATATGCTTCTACCATTACTCCAGAGCAGACTTCTAAGAAACACTACTACTGTGCCCTTATTTCAAGGAATTTAGAGCAGCAAAGACTCTTCCAGATGGCAAATTTCCTCTAGGAGACTAAATAGAGGACAATATTTAGAACTGTTACAATAAAAGACAATCCAAGTTTAAATGTGAAGAAGGTGCACATATTTTATTAAGTGCATTAAAGAGTTGTTTAAATTTTGTTGTTATTTTTGATTACCCTGGGGAAAATTCACATCAAATAATATTCTTTACTCCCTCTTCTAGTGCTCAAGTAGAAAGGAATTCTATCAAGAGGGGAGAGGTAAGATAAATTAAAAAGCTAATATATTTAAAATCCAAAAAGCCACTTTCCTAGAATTGAGTCTGACTCAAAATTATCCTATAGAACAGAGCGGGACAACCCTATGGGATTTCTTTTTTTTTTTTTAAAGATTTTTTTATTTTATTATTATTTTTGTGTGCGTGTACCGTCAAATCATATCTGACTGGTACAGAAGGAGATTGCCCCTCCTTCCCTGGCAGAGCATCTGGTGGATTCGAACCGTGCACCTCTGGGATTGTAGTTGCAGCTTCTTGCCACTAGGCCACCAGAGCGCCCTTCTTTTTTTTTTTTTGAGAAAGCCACATCTTTTCCTTATAGTATATCTCAACTTGAATGTAATTATTATAACTAACCTGTGGGGTATCTTTGCTCTTTATACACAAATGAACTATGTTGTTGTTGTTGAACGCCGTCGAATCGTTGATGACTCATAGCGACCCTATGAACGAACAGCCCGAGCACTGTTCGTACATAGAGTTTCCAGAGGCAAGCCATTTTGGAAGTGGATGCTGCTCCTGCTTCCAGGCAAATGAACTATACCAAGAAGAATTTAGCTGCATGTTGCCAGCCAGGCTCAGGGGCATGCGACGCCAACCTGCCAATATGTGATTTTTCTTGCCTGTTAACAGTCTCATTCCTGTAGTCAAAACTGCATGAAGCTCATACACTTGGACTAAAGTTAATAATTCTTATGAACAATAGACTATCAAATATAATCTTGAATTAGTTAACTTTTATACTATTACTCTAACATGGGATAAGGTCAAAATATAAGATGTACTATACCCATGACTCCAGAAGGGTAAAATCAAACAAGATTCAAGATATTTTGAGACACTTCTTATGGGACTGGGGGCATGGTCACTGAGAAAGGAGGACAGGCTAGTTAGCGATTTAGTCAGTGTTTGAATTACATAACTCAACTTTCCGAAAGGACAGAAATTTAGAGCTGCACTAGCATTTCAGCAAAGAGAGTCTGCATCTCGTGTAAGTATCCATTGCCCCCACACCGCCCATTACTTACTGTTGACTGTAGTGATAGTGTCTTGGATTTCTGCTTGTGTCAGCAGTTCTTCATACGCATCTCTTTCCTCTTCTGAAATACAGCTATTCTGAAAAACAAAGTCTTCATTGACTCCTGAAGTTCATGTTTCCAGAGTTTAGTAATCAAAAGCAAAAATGCAGAGAGTACTAAAAGGCTGTCACAGCTTCAAGACATGCATTTCTGGAGTGCCTGCTTTACACAGGACACTAGGATTAGGTGTTCTGAAGAATGGCTGCCCAGATGAACAGCAGATGCAAGGGCTCTCTGAGAAGAAATACTGAACGTGCAAAATGCAACTGTCTGAACATTAGGCTGGACCATTTGTATTGTCTTTATTTTTTTAATTAAGGACAATGTCATATGATTCAACCTAATACAACTAAGGAGACTAATAGTGATTGTAAAGAATAGATTCTTTAGGAAATCTTGTATAAACATTTTTAAAAGGCGTCACACTGAGAGGGAAGTTTTTCAAAGAGGCAACCACTGAGGAGGGCTGAGAGAAGGAGTGTCATCTGAAAGGCAAAGAAGGGAGCCTAGTGTGGATGTGGAGAGCGGAGTATAGTCACAAAGTTGGGAAAGGGGGGCCTGCTGCTTGCAGTGTGAGGCATATGTCCAGTGTTAATTTAATGGGGAGAGAGAGGCTAGCTGTGTATCATGGAGGCATCTGAGGGCTAGCTAAGGTCCTCTGCTTACATAAGTAAGCAACAAAGAATGTGAGATTTCTGGTGGGGTGACATCAGATCTGTACTTAAAAGCTTCATCCTGCACCCTCTAATGCTGAGAGTGGGTGACCCCAGGAAACAGGGAGAACTGTTGAGTTCTGAGGTGAGATTAGTCAGGACAGACTGAGCCTAGCACAGTGAGACTGGATCAAGGCCATGTATTCAAGGCAGAGAAAGTCAGCAGAACGTAGCAATGGGCAACTGGACATCAAAAGATGGGGTGCTGAAAGGCACAGAGCCATGGTAATTAAGCATATAAAATATAATGTATATGAATGATTGCATAAAGCATATGTACAATGTATATTAATGATTATATGTAAACCAATAAAAAAATCCAAAGCAACAACCAGTTGTAATTATGTTAACCCCGGCTTATCAAGACCATATATGTTGGAGTAGAATTGTGCTCCATCACATTTTCAATGGTTGACGTTTCAGAAGTAGTTCATCAAGGTTCTCATATATCTCCAGGTGGACGTGAATTCCCAACATTCTAATCAACAACTGAGCACACTACCCATTATCATACCCAGGACTCTGGATAAACCAGTGTCTGCCAATGAGCTGATTCTGACCAGTGGTCACCCTCTGTTCAGAGTATAACTGCTCCGCAGAGTTTTCAAAGCCGGGACATTATGGAAGCAGATCACCAGGCCTGTCTTCAGAGGTGTCTCTGGATGAGTCTGAGAACCTAATTTTTTTTACTAATGTTAATGTTGTTGTTGTTGTTGTGTACTGTCAAGCTGGAAATGCCCCCTAGCTGATCTTACAGCAGGTTTTTGAGGCAGTAAACCACACGGGAGGAGACTATCCATCTTTCTCCCATGAAGCAGCTGGTGATTCAAACTGTGTAACTTTGCACTCAGGAACTCTAGTGGCCTACTGGTAAGAAGCTGCTCTGCAATCCCAAAGGCACACGGTTCGAATCTAACAGCTGCTCTGCAGGAAAAGGATGGGCAATCTCCTCCAGTGTGATTAAATGCCTCTCAAAACCTTAAGTAGGAGTTACATGCTTAACTATTTGTGCCAACCCAGGGATCCGAGATAAGACATGGGCGAAGAAACCAAGTTATGAGACAAGGTGTCACCGTTCCCATTCAAGGACCTCAGAAAAGGACACATGCATGAAAATGAAGGGTAGAAGTGTGTAGTTTTCTGATGCGGAGGGTTTGGGGCCTGTGTGGAACACTCAGGTGAAGATATGTGAAAAAGCATTAGTAAGTAGATTTCAGAGGGGCTAGTGGAAAGCTGTTGGAACCAGGAGTGGCATCTACTTCCTAAAGAACATGCCTCTGGAAACACTATGAACTAGAGAAATATCGATAGAGTTATAGAACAGGGTTCAGGTCTTTGTTCATAGCGTTGCTATGAGTGTGTTCACCTTGACAGCACTTAACAACAGCAACAGTGGAAAGCTGACAAGTGATTTCTTCAAATAGATTAGATCAACAGAGGATGAGCAGAGGTGGAAGTAACTCAGTGTGAGACTTTGGAGAACCCTCATAACAGAGAGCAAGAGACAGTAACAGATGTGGAGAGGATGTCAGCACAGCTTTCCTGCCAGGAGCAAAGACTATCCACGCAGGTGGGGCAGAGCAGGGATCACTATGCTGGATGCTGGTGAAAGCTTAACAACAGAGAAAAGTGGTAGCTTTTACTGAGAAAGCTCATTTGAACTTGTGCGACAAGAGCCTAATGAGAGAAATGCTAAAGGAAGTAGCAGCTCTGAGCTAGACATGGTTTTTACTGATGGAGTAGGAAGGTGTTAAGTATGGAGTTAGAATTAGGAGTATGGTACCTTGCCAAGGTGGGATAACTCTTCCTCAAATATAAAAGGTTAACAGGAAAATAAGATGAATAGATGCAAACCTCTCTACACTCTATCACATGCAATTATTGACTTTAAGGAGTCCTGGTGGTTTAGAGTATAAGGTGTACAGTTGCTAGCTGACAGGTCACAGATTTGAATCCACAGGGAAGATGGCAGCCTTTAATAAAAATCTACAGACTCAGAAATCCAACAGAGGGTCACTACGAGTCAGAATTAAATTAATACCCTGGAACTGTAGCATAGTGTGTAATGGATTGAATAGTTAAGCAAAAGGTTGATAGTTCAAACCCATTAGCCACTCTGTGAGATAAAGATGAGGCAGCTTCCTACCATAAAGATTTACCTCCTCAAAAACTCAATGCATGGTCACCTTGAGTCAGTGGGTTTGGTTTGGGGATGGCTGTTGTTGGGTGCCAGTGAGTCCACTCCGAGTCATAATGATACCATGAAGTAAAGTGGAACACCCTAGGGGGATTTATTACCTATAACCATTATAGAAGGGAGCTGTGGTGGCTTAGAGGTAAGGAGTTGCACTGCCAACTTAAAGGCATAGGGTTTGAATCCAGCAGCTACTCTGCAGGAGAAAAATGGCAATCTCCTCCCATGTGATTCTGTCTCTGAAAACCTGCAAGAGGGCCAGCTATGAGGTGGTTCCAATTTAATGGTACATAACTACAACAACAACAAAAACAATCTTTTCTTTTTGTGCAATGATTAATTGCAAATACTTTTTATAATAAATATTTAATGTTCATTCTTTATTTTCCATTTTTTATTCACATTGTGTTTCATAGGATCATTCCCATACATCGTGTCTTATAAATTAATCACCATTGATTATTTCCCACTAATACCCCATGTTTTCAGATCCCCACTGGATTTTCCCTAATTCCTTCATCTCCTTCCTCTCCCCACCAAACTGTGACCCCGTGATTCCCCCATCCCCATCTTCAGTTACCCTGACCCTCTCTCCCTCTTCGGATATCCATATACAGTTTAGTAGAAGTAGATCTCCTGGACTTTTCCTGTGGAGCTTTTGTGTGGGATTAATTTGCCAATTATTCTGGCCAAAAGTTGAGCACTTAATGGCTGTATCACCAGGACTCCTTTAACTTCTATGAAAGGGAATTCTGATGGCACAGTCAAAGCAAACTGGACTGCTAACCTAAAGGCTGGCGGTTCACATCCACCAGGGTGAATGACAGACAGTACTCCCTTTGTGAGTTCCAGCCATGGATGAAGGTTTCCTATGAATTGGAACTGACTTGACGGTAGTGAGAAAAAGAATTCCATGGAAACTTGACTAATAAAGAGTTGGCTAGTGGTGCCTACAAGGAAAGATCTGTAACTTTCCCAGTTAGCAGTGAGTTTACAACACGATTTTCAATCCTGCCAACTCGTAATTTTCATCATAAAAGGAAAATCTAATTTCCTTACATAGCACATGTACTTCTTTTATATTTACATTTCATCCAAACCAGCTGCAAACGGCTATGGGAACCAGTCATTTGCAAAGCAGTTAATTTTAACTAAGGCTTTGCCGACTCTCTTTAATGCAGAAGATTGTTGGTACCTTCAGTCTTGCATTTTCTTCTTTTCTCTTTTTGTCTTCCCAGAGCTCTTTCTGGTATTCTTGTGCAAGGTGGTCATCCACCCAATTTAAGACAGCATTTGGGTTTCTTAGCGTTACGATGGTTTGCTCCGCGATTCCTTTCTCAATAGCTTCATTAATGGCTATAACGGCAGCATGCACTGGAAAGAAAAGAGCAACAGGAGATTTTTGTCAGTAAAAGGCAACACTGACAAGTTGCATCGACTCAGTAAACTCAGGCAGCTCTACTTTCTGCCTTGGCTTCCACTTGTGTACCATCGAGTCGGGAAATGACCCATAGCTGACCCTCCAGTGGGTTTTCAGAGGCAGTCAATTGTGTGGGAGGAGACTGCCCATATTTCTCCCACTGGCAGCTGGTGGATTCCAACCATGTGCCTTTGGGATTGCAGCACAGCTTCTTACCATGCTTCCAGGAAGAATGCCCACAAAGAGACCTCAACATATCGTGAAGTACCTCCACAAGCCTCTTGTACTTTCGTTCTCAGTATCAAAGAAGTAATCCTTGTTAATTTACTCAATTTGTTACCAAATGCCTAAAATGAGTCAAGTACCATGCCAACCACTGGAGTCTGAAGCTAAGCCCCTGCTTTTTTATTAGGTTGACAGAGGCAGAACCAGGCCCCTGCCAAGAGACAGCTGTGATTCAGCCTTCAACACTAAGAGACACAAAGTAATGCACATGAATACTTTTTAAAAATTTTGTTTTATTATTCTCATTAAAAGTTAAGGGTGAAGAAAGTAAAATATTTTGGAGAATGACACTATTCTTGGAACATCCTAATTGAACCCGCACAAGTATCTGTAATGTGCAAAATTAACTACTTAATATGTTCAGACATCCTCAAAGTAATAATCTAAAGGGCATATAATAAAACTTTTCAGGATGCTTAAAATATCTTCTAAACATCCTATTTCATGCCATCAAAATCAACAATTAAATTGGTATAAGACCACTATTGTAAAAAGCTAAGGAAAGGTTTATACACAGATAATATCACACTTGGAAGGATAATAGGAATGGGAAGGGAGGGGAGTAAAAATAAACAAAGTAAAGGGAAAGACAGTATACAAAACAGGGTTTATTAGGCCATGTCCTAGTAACCTTGGTCCTCTTTGTGTGTGTGTGTGTGACTTTCTTTGCAAAGTATTTCCTCTATTTTCTATTTACTTGCATAGGGAAAAAAAAGAAATGAATTAGACATTGTAAGCTGGTGGACGTGAACTACATGTCTTTGGGATTGCAATGTAGCTTCTTATTACTAGGCCACTTATTATTTGTTGTTGTTATATGCAATCAAATCACCTGAGACTCATAGTGATCCTATGTACAACAACTCTGACTCCTGCCCTGTCCTGAGCCAGTCTCAATGACTCTGACACATCTGCCCACATTACGTCAGTTACTGTATCAGTCCATCTCATCCAGGATCTTTCTCTTCCATGCTGTCCGTCCACCCTTCCAAGCATGATATCCTTCTCTAAGGACCGGTCCCTGCTAGCCATGTGCCCAAAGTATGTGATATAAAACTTCAAACTCCTAGCCTCCAGGGAGAAACTTGGTTTCACCCTCTCCAAAACAGACTAGTTTGTTCTCTTGGAGGTCTACGGGATGTTTAATACTCTTCTCCAGAATTACAATTCCAAGGCATTGATTCTTCTGTCATCCTTAGTTGTTGTCCAGCTCTCTAAAACATAGCAAGTAATTGCAAAGAATAGGGCCTGAATCAGGCACATCTTGGTCTCCAGACTAACATCGTTCTACCTCAGTACTCTGGAGACGTCCCTGACAGCAGATTTTCCAAGTGCAATTTGTCTTTTGATTTTCTGACTGCTTGTGCCAAGAGTGTTGATTGTGGAGCTGAGCAAGCTGTAATTCTTAACAACCTCAATCTCTTCTCCATCTATCATGGTGCTGCCATTTGGCCCAGTGGTGAGAATCTTTATTTCGTTGATGCTGAGCTTCAATCTATATTGAAAACTATAGTCCTCGGCTTTCTGCAGCAAGTGCTTCAAGTCTTCCTCAGTTTCAGCAAGCAAGGTTGTGTCATCTGCATAACGCAGATTGTTAATGAGTCTTTCTCCAATCTTGACGCCACATTCCTTCTCATAAAGTACAGCCTCCTGGATAATCTGTTCTGCATATAGATTGAAAAGGTATGAAGACAGGATGTATCCTTGACACACTCTTTTCCTAATTTTGAAAACTGTACAGTGTTTCCTTGCTCTGTTCTGAGGACTGTTTCCTGTTCCAAGTATAAGTTTCACATGACCCTAATTAATACATTGCATTAATCAATGACAATTAATGTCATTAAACACAAATATCTCTGAGTAAGTGCATGAAAAATCAATATAATATGTATAAAGTATTAAGTTAATAGCAAGTCTGAATTTTTAACAGACTTACAAGCAGCTTCATCCACGGACAGTTCATTGGCCAAAATACCCCCTATTTTGCTGAAAGATGGCATCTGTATCCCATACTTCTCTAGTTCTTTTCTCATGTTGCTGATTTCTTCCTCTGAAAAAGAACAGAAAGGAAGTCAAAGTCAGAGCTCTCAGAGACAGGAACATGGGTATGTGCATCTAGAAATGTCCTCATCAGAAGGTAGGGCCATTACTCAACAAGAAGGTTATAAAGAAACCAGCTTTGGATTCTCACTTCACAACTGTATGGGGAAGGGAATCCAGACAAGTACATGTAAGAAAATAAGTTTCCCTCTCTTGTTGATATAGTGGAAGAAAGGGGATCAATAACATCAGAGTGAAACAAAAGGAACTTGCACTTTTTACAGTAAAGAGACTACAAAACTTAGAAATAAACGTATCCATATAAATCACTAGTACCTGTGAAGTCTACTTTGCCCAACAAATCCTGGATCTGGGGGGCTATTCCTAGTTTGAACAGATATAAACTGAAAGACAAAAACCACAAAATTATTAGAAATTTTAGCATCATAAGTGTTGATTATTTTTAATATATAAATATATAAAAAGGAGGTTATCTCATCTACATCACTCATTTTTACAAATGAGGAAACTGAGTCCCGCTCACAGCTCCTATGCAGCCACAACTACAATCTCTAAGGCCCCAAGACAGATCTAGTGTAGTACAAAGTCCTTCAGAGTCATCCAGCTCTTCATTTTCCATCTGTGGGGAGAATAAGACATACAGCTAATACAAAACAGTAGGGAATCTAAACAGAATGAGCAATTCTTTGGAGATACTTCATAAGATTATAATTCTGTTAATTAAAAACTAAAGTGTACCTGATGCATGTCATGGTATTTTCGATTACTTAATATGCATCTGTAAATTGAACAATAAATAAGGAAGACCGAGGAATTGATGCCTTTAAAATATACTGTGGATGAGGAGTACTGATTACTCCATAGGCCACCAAAAGAACAAACAAGTGTGCTTTGGAGGGAGTGCAGCCAAGGTGCTCTCTGGACCAAGGATGGTGAAATTTTGTCCCACATACTTTGGGCATGATGTCAGGAGGAGCCAGTTCTTGGAAAAAGGCATCATGATGGGAAAAGGAAGACTCAGGAGATGCTTGCCATTGTGTCTACAACAACGGACTTGAGAATGACACAAATGGTGAGGATGGCAAGGTTCAAATCTGTTCACAGGATCATTATAAGTAGTGATTGAATCAACGACGGCAACTAACAACAATGATTTTGTTGAAAAGACGGCTTGCATTATATTGTGTTTTTCAAAACTCTTCCAGATGTTATATATTCCTTGGGGAAACCTTTGTTTTACAATTATCAAAACAATAGAACTATCACAGGTGGATGGGGGATGTTCTCAGTGGAAGACAAATGATGATGTATGCATAATGCTAAGTGGAAGACGGAACATTAATTATATAAATACAAAGGGGGGGAATCCCTTATAACACTATTATGGCAGGTTTTACCTAACCATAGTCTAACAAAACAAGGGCTGGCATCCAAATTCTACCAGAGAATTTACAGTTAAGTGGTATTTTCTACCAAATCAGTAAGTCATAGCTTCTGCCTCATATTTATCTTTTCTCCCCAGCCCAGTCCTCAACATTAATTCTATGAACCAGTTTGGCTCCCTATCATGGGCAGTGTTTGGTGGAGCTCCCAGATTGACTCAAGTTTGGAAGCAGGAGTGGCATCCACTTCCTAAACCACATGCCTCCGGAAACTGTGAACTTGGAGAAACAATAGTTACAGAAAGGCTTCAGGCCTTCTGTTCATATGATCATTATGAGTCATGCTCAACTCTACAACAACAACAATATTCCTTTTATTGTTTTTGCTGCATACAGCCTTCATTATGGATTGAAGCTGAACATTAAGAAAACAAAGATTCTCACCACTGGGCCAATTGGCAGCCTCATAATAGATGGAGAAGAGACTGAAATTATTAATAGCTTTCATTTGCTTGGCTCTATAATTAACACTTTTGGTACCAGCCGCCAGGAAATTAAAAGACAGTTGCATTGGGAAAGTCTGCTGTCAGGGACCTCTCCAAAGTACCGAAGAGCAACGATGTCAGTACAGAGACTGAGGTGCACCTGATCCAATTACTTGTTATGCATTAAAGAGTTGGATAATGACTAGGGATGACTGAGGGAGAAGTGATGCCCTTGTTGTGGTGCTGGAGAAGAGTACTGAATATACCATAGACTGTTAGGAGAACAAACAGGTTCATCCTAGACAGGGTGAAACTAGGCTGTTCCTTGGAGGCAAGGATACTGAAGCTTTGTCTGACATACTTTGGACATGTTGCAAGGCAGGACCAGTCCTTGGAGAGGGACAGCATGTTTGGAAGGGTGGAGGAACAGGCCAAGAGAGGAATACCTTCGATGAGATGGATTGATTCAGTGACTGGGGTAATGGGGGTAGGTGTGTCAGAGTCAGTGAGATTGGCACAGGATAGAGTAGGGTTTAGGGCTGTTGTACACGGGATTGCTATGAGTCTCAGGCAACTTAACAGAACATAACAACAACAACATTCCTTTTATTATAATTTTTTAATTGTGGTTTGGAATTTGTTAGATTTAATCAGAAGTTAGAAATAAGTAGCATAACTAATAAAATTAGCATAACTAATTTTTCTACTATGCAAATTATCTTGCCATGGTCTACTTATATAGACACACACATTCCTTAAAAAAAAATTACCATAGTGTAAGGATAAAGATATGTACACAAAGAAAGTTTTCAATATGTAGTTGTCAAACTGTATGCTTAACAGGATTTTCTAGTAATGCTGTAACAGACACCTCACAAACCAGCTATAACATACTAGTTGTTTGTTTAACAAACTAACAAATTACATCCTTATTTAACTGCCAAAACACAAAAAATAACAGCCCAGCCAAATTGATGTGTTTTTATTGGATGCAGTTCAGTAGATGACATTTCACCTTTTGCGCCTCCTCCACAAAATCATGTCTTTGCCATGCCATGAGGCAAAACATTTTTATCTCATCTTATCTCAAAGTCTTAAATCTACTCCAAATTCCATCCTGGGACAAAATTCCTCTTTATCTCTGAATCTAGATACAAGTTCTGGTTTCCAAGCACAAAGGTGGAAGAGGCTAAAGGCATGTAGACATTCCATGATGAACAGGAGAAACTGGAGGGAACAAAGGGATATCTGGCACCAAGCAAGTAACAGTAACAAAATACCAACAAACAGAAAACAACAGCAGACAAATTGACATTAGACTGGTCATCTTCCTCTCACGGAGTGGATTTAAGTTAACAGAGAGGACTTGGTCTTTGGGTCAACAGCATCACTGTGTCACCAAAAAGAAAAGTTTCTAGGAAGCTGTGTGGCTCCTGGAACGGCCTAAGGGGCTTCCAGGAACAACAAATGTCTGATGGTGGCTTGGAAAACCTCCTGGCTCCCTCTATTCTTTGGAGTTCCTGGGGCTCGATGTGACTTATGACAGTCCTGCAAATCTGAGTTAAACCTAAAAAGCCTCCTGATGAGCACAGCCTCATCCTACCACCACTGTATGACATCATCATTGAACTCTGCCAACACAAGAGCCAAAACACATTATCTAAATCTGTATTTCCTTTTGTTAGTTGTCAGATTAAAATTTTTTTTTCATACTAGTATCAATCATTTGTATTTCTTTCTTGATATGCCAACTAAAGAATTTAGTTTGAGGGAGCTCTGGCGGCCTAGAGGCAAGAAGCTGCACTGAATCCCATAGGCATGAGGTTCGAATCCACCAGATGCTCTGCTGGAGAAGGAGGGGAAATGTCCTCCAGTATCAGTTGGGTCTGACTTGAAGATACACAACAAGGAGAAGAAAAAAAAACAACTTTTTTTTAAAAGTTATTTTAATGACTTCAGAGGGGTGGACATTTTCTTCCCTCCACCCCTTCTCCTTTTTCACACTAAACTACAGTCAAAGGATAGAGGAAAAAAATATGGACATTTTTAAAGCCATATAGTCACTTTATTTTTAGTACTGAATTCCTATATCAGATTCATATCTACAGAGAAAAACACAGTAGACACTGAAAGTCGTCACTGTGAAATAGCCATTGTTGTTGTTCTATACAAGCTGACTGGGCCTTAGAGTGACCCTATGAACAATAGCTCTGAACCCTGTCCTAGCCTGAGCTAATCTCACTGTCTCTGACGTCGACCCCCATTAACCCAGTTACTTTATTAATCGTCTCATTCAGAAGCTTCCTCTCCTGCACTGTCCCTCCACCCTCCCAAGCATGATGTCCTTCTCCAAGGACCTGTCCCTCCTGGCAACATGCCCAAAGTATGTGAGACAGAGCTTTTGTTTTCTAGGCAGTTCATGGTATGTTCAATACTCTTCTCCAGCACCACAAAGGAAATAGACATTATGCACCCATAATTCGAAAGGGAAGAGATAGGATACATTCTTTAATTTAAATTCTAAGATTTTAGAGATTATCGAAGGCATGAACTGTTTATCCAGTCTCTAAAGACTTCACTATCGAAGGTTCAAATCAAACAAGACACTTATAATTAAAACTAGATCATTTAGATGCCCGGCTGGCATTTTTAAAATCATATTTTCTGAGCCACTTCTCAATTCATCATAAGAGAGAAGAATTCTAGTTCAAAAGGGGCTTATATCAACTGGAACAAATAAAACATCAATTTCTTGATCTTTTCAATAATGAAGACTACAAAATGAACTGAATTCAAATGGATAGGTGTTGTAATGATGCAAAATATTTCTAGGAAAATCAAGTCATAATTTAAGAAAGGGGAACAGATCTACAAGTGATAAAAAATTTATGACTGTATCATTCAATTTCTTCCATAATACCTGCTTTGCATTTCCCACATTCCATTTTATAAATAAATTGAGAAACACATCTGATATATTTTATGAAGTGAATTATAGGAATGATTTGATGAAAGAAACTATGAAAATGCAGCAGTAAAACTTAAGGAGATGCCTGTAAAATGTCTCTAATGACAAATTTTTTATGTTATTTCAAGTATTTCATGTGCTGTGTCTTTAATGTATATTTCAAAACAAATCAAATCCACTGCCATCAAGCGGATTCTGACTCGTAGGGATCTAAAAGACAGAATAAAACTACCTCATGATGTTTTCAAGCCTGTAAATCTTCATGTAAGCAGATTGTCAATATTTTCTTCCAGGGAGCAATTGGTGGATTCACACTTTTTTAAAAAATTTATTTTTAACATGTGTACCAGCAAACCAGATCTGGAGGAGACTGTTCCTCCTTCTCCAGCAGAGCTTCTGGTGGATTTGAACTGGTCACCTCTGGGATTATAGTGCAGCTCCTTGCCACTAGGCCACCAGAGCTCCCTTAGATTCAGACTTCTAAACTCTTGGTGAACAGCCAAGTGTTTTAATCAGGATTCCTTGTAAGTGCATTATTGTTTGTTGTT